GATTTTTAGCCGGTATCTCTAGCTCTTCTGGACTCATTTCTACGGCAATAGTTGCTATTTCTTTTCTACCATTGGCGGCTTGTGCTTTGGCTGCAATTTGGATTGCTTGAACGTCGCAGTCAAAGGCGCGCTTCAAATCACTTCGAAGGGAAAGTACACCATTAGGCCCTAGCATCTTGAGCAATAGGTACGGGTAATGCGGTATCGCCATGAATTTTGCTAGTGCTGGGCGCCCGAGGATTGCGTGATATGATGAATCAAAGTCTACAAGTTCAAACTTGATGAACTCTGTACGGTAGTTTGAGGGAGTTCTGAAAGTAACTGGTAGAGTGATTTGCCCAAGTGGCATGGCTGCCTTGCCGGGTACTATCCCATAAAAAGGAGTGCTCGTTGGTGTAATCATTCTGGTGAGTTGTAGTCCCATCTTCCTTAGCGTTTATGAAAAAATGATGTTGAGCCTGGCTCCTCCATCAATTAGCACTTTTGTGACAGTCATACCAGCGATAGTTGGATCTAGAACCAGTGGGTAATGGCTTGTGTTTCCTACGCTAGTCCATTGGTCTTCTCTTGAGAACTGGATTGGATATTGTGACCAATTGAGATATCTTGGAGTGGCCGGTTCTGCTGCCATGATGGTTCGTAGAGCTAGCTTTTCTTGATGTTTGCTTCTGGAATCTGGGGCTCTGACGAAGATCACTGCTACTGTCCCCCTATATTTTTGGAATCCCTTGTCTTCGTGGTTGTCTTCGTCTTTTTTCTGATTGTCTTCTTTTGTGTTTCCCTTAGTATCTTTTCTTATGCATCGATCATTGAAGGTGAAGCAATTTCTGATGGTGTGATTTCCTTTAGGGTGCCAGATGCACTGTATGTTTTCAATGTCGTCATATCTTCTGGGTTTGGAAAACTTCCTTGATTTGTCAGCCACCGCTATGGTGTTGTCTGATTCACGTTTCCTTTCCTGATGTCTGCTGTTTCGATGGTTTTGTCTGTCCGGGTTGTCTCGGTTGTTTGTATCCAGGAACCTTTCTCGTGTCTTCTCCTCTACAGTAATCATCTTTTCTATCATGTGTCTGAATTCTTCATTGTTTCTCGGGTTCTCTTTGCAGAAGTCCTGAAATTACCACCTAGCCATGATTCTGTGAGAGAAAGCTTCGATTACTTCTCGTTCAGTGATGTCATGTACTTGAGCACGTAGTTCACCGAATCATCGATAGTAATTTCTGAGACTTTCGCCCCCTTTCTGCTTGAGTCCTTTTAATTCTACGTGGGTGATGGGGTGCATAATGATACCTACAAAATTTTCACAGAAAACTCTTTGCAAATCCTCCCAATTTCTGATTGACCCTGGATTCAATTTGTCAAACATTGGAGGGGCATGGTTTCTAGGGCCATGGGAAAGAACAAGGTCTTGATATCATCGTCTCCTTCGGCTAGTTCAATCGATTGTGAGTAAATTCTGAGCCACTGCCTTGGTTCGGTCTTGCCATCATATTTAGAGTGGTTGGATGGCTTGAATTTGTGAGGTAGTCATATTGAAGCAAGTCTGTTTGCAAAACAGGGGAATCTATCGTGCGTTTCGGCTTCTCTGTATTCTGATTCGGCACCTCCTTCCAGCCAACTGTTGTTTTGTTGAGAATAGTTCTACGGGGCTATCTGAATGGGTGCTTCGCTTCTGATCTTTCTTGGTTGTTTGACTCGGTAGTTTTGACTATGGTCCCTTCTACTTTCTCTATTGTGACTTTCACTTGGTCCAAGTCTCTCGAAAGCGGACTTCCTTTGATTTTGATCTTCCTTCCTATGAGATGTCGACCTAGCAGGTAATCTTGAGCGGGTTCTTCCGTCGTGCGTCCTTAGGGCTACTGTACGGAGGAGGTCTCGGAGTTGTTCCTGTTATTCACTAGGATGTGAGGTCGCTCCAAGTTCTTCTAGCGCTTCTCGGATCCTATTGTGAGGTGTATTCGCTGTGCGCCTTTCTTCGACTTCTTGTTCTGATTTTCTTCTGTTGTACTCGGCCGGATCTGACTCATATCTGATCCATGCTTCCTTGCGCTGCCTAGCATGTCGTTGGCATCCTTGTTTCAATTTGTTTCTTCTTTCTCTAGCTTGCCTCTGATTCTTGGTCTCACCATCGTAGCCCTGGGCAAAGGGTGATATGTTGGACTCAGATTCATACGATGACCTGATGTCGGGCGCTTCTGGGGGGATCAATGGTGATCGAGGATGGTGAACCATAAGTACTTCCCGTGCGTGAACTGTTCTGTTATCGGCGTTGGTTTCCACACTATCGGAGTTGCTAATAACTTTAGTAGAGGCTTCGAGGTCGTAGATCGAGTCTCCTTCTTGGTAGGGTAGAATTGTTGTTGTCGTCGTGCCGACCAGTCGGGTACTACTATCCTCAGGAATGGAACCTGGCCAGTGGACGATGTAGTCTTGAGATGTTATAGTTAGTACGAGACCTTCCTGAGCTCCTTTCAGTGGCATTCTAAGCACCAGATCGAGGGATCCTTCGAGCCATGCCTGATAAGACTTTGCCATGTTGTGGAGTCCGAACGGAAAAAGACCTGACTTCTTGAAAGGACTCTGAGTGTACTCTGAGTTATACTTTTGATATGTCGAGGCCGTGTTCTGGAGCCCCACCGGAAAAGAACTCGGTTTCTCGAAAGATCTCGGGTAAGACTCCATCTCGAATGCGGAGCCTGAATTCGATTCGGATGTGCAAAGCCATGAAATCTGAGTTGGTTCGGACATCACGAGCTGCGCGAATCTTCCGGTGAGTTGATCTGTCGTAGTTGCCGAAATAGAAAAGTCTTCATGGTGAACTGAATCTTCGAGGAGACGGCTTTAGAGCTTGCCATCGTCGCCTGCCTCGCAGATCCATGAACCGAAAATGAAGGTTGATCCCGTTGAGAAGATCATGTTGTCGAGGTCCGTCGAGCTCTCGGATGCAAATTCGCCGAAAGCCCCTACCTACCACGCCAGCTGTCGATGTTTGACCACCGATAGCCTACCACGGGGGTACCCAGGGCAGTTTGTTCGGGCTTCAGTGTATGCAGAACTTGACGGTTAACGCAAGAGGCAGTCGATTTATCCTGGTTCGGACCCTCGATCGTTGATCGAGTAATAGCCCTACGTCCAGTCGGCGTTAGCCTTTGCGTTGGATTGATTGTCAAGTATTGTGTCGTAAAGTCCCGTCTCTAGGAACCCTGCCCTCCTTTATATAGTCAGGAGGCCAGAATCCTAGTCGGTTTACAATGAGAGTTCCTAGTAGGATTACAGAATAATTCTACTACTAAGATTATATGGGAAAATCCTAGTTAGACTAGATCTTCTCCCTTCCTTGCGGGGTATCCCGTGGGTCCCGCACCGACATTATGCTTAGTAGGAAAATTAATAGCTATAATCTATTCTATGATCACTATAGCATCCATAATATAAGGGACCATTTGATATAGTTATGTGCCAAGTGCTATGTGGTCGGAGTTAGAGCGGAGTCGAAGGCCTACTGGTGGACCCACTTTTGGCGCCTGGCTGCAGCCACCAAAAGTAGCTTTGCTCCGTGTATGGAGGCAGCGACTCCTTCATGCGATCTCGTTTGATGTGGCTTCGCTTGCTCGGTGCTAGAGACGTTAATATTGGCAATAATATAACAATGTTGTATAAGTTAATATTGGCAATAATATTACAATGCTCTATATTAAGTCTACATTGAATTAAACTACAACCTTTATACCATTTTTCCTGCATTGTAAGCCACAAAAATATTTACATGTAAATATGTTATAACTTTATTTTTCATATTACGTATATGTTGGCAGAGTTAGATATCAAGTTACTTCTTTTTTAGGATCCATAAAATATGTAATTTTAACATTATGATTAAAATATGCAATGAGCTAGTTGTTGTGGAAGGTCTCAGACTTCTACGTGCCATCTATAAAAAAAAATATGTAACCCTAATATTTGATTAAAGTCGTAAGGAATTAATTGTTGTCAAAACCTCTCTCGATTAAATTTGAATTGAGGATTGCCTTTGGTGCATGCATTACAAACTTGAAGATACATTTGTTTTGATTAAATTGACAAACTACTCAAGATTTTAGTTCAGAGTTTAATTAGACCATCCACTGATCCAGATTTTAATAACAATAAGTTTTATTCCTAATCAAAATTAGATCAATAGTTTTGTGGTGAGAATATTTATTTATCGAAATGGGGATAGGGAATGGTCAAAGTTCAAATACTCATAATATTGTATTCATTATTTATTTTTGATGTTTATATAATAAAACGGAGATACTCTAGAAAAGAAAGAAAAGAAAAGAAAAAATCATGAGCGAGAGTTGGTTACACACGGAAAAAAGAGACATGTGGATCCGCCAAAGTAGATGGGTTGGACACGGGAAAAAAGAGAAGCATAAAAACAAATTCCTATTCGAGTTAGAATTTCCTATTTAGGTTATTCGGGATCAAAATCTATTTGGATTATGAGTCCTAGCCTAAAAAACCTTACATATATGTCATAAATATAATAAAAGGGTCGTAGACACATAAGAGCATATCCAAGAGATATGATATCCTTGTTCTGTATGGTATATTTAGATTTTTACAGGAAAAATTGAACTCCAACAGATATCATATTTGGTTTTGTATAATAGCAAGTATGCTATCCCTGAAATCTCGTTGGGCATAGATAGCAAGCGAACCTAGCTCGCCATCTTCCGAAATAGCTGGCCACGGTGGATGCCCCGCACGTGCGATCCTTCCCGCGTGCCAGAAACTAGCTTCCCGCCCGCGCACTGAACTCTCCCATCGTGGGGATCCAGGCCCAACCCGCTCCATTCGACGATTCCCAACTCCCAAGCTCGTCCATCGCCTCCTCCCCTTCGTCGGCCCTGTCGCCGCCGCACCACGGAAGCTGCTACTCGCTGGCCCTCTGAATCGCCCTTTCCTTATTCGTCGTGATGTTGCAGCGTCCTCATGGACAGGCTCCGCCGTCTGAGATGGGAGATCCCAACTACGCTGCCCTTTTATTCCAACAACAGGCGGATGGGAGTACCAGGCAGATTGGAGCAGCATCAGGCGGATGGGAGCAACAGGCGGATGGGAGATCCCAACTGCAGCAGGACTCCCCGGTGCTGCCGTGGTTGGAGAATACGGTGCAAGGAGGCCAGCGACGACGAGTCCTTCCACCCAACAGTGCTGCTGCTACTGCATCGAATCCATTCCTCGACGTGTGCTCCGGTGAGTCTAATTTTCAGTGGGCCTCTCTCACCGTTGTTCAGTACATCCATTATTGTTTCCCCAATTTTCTATTGCTATTGTGAAAACCGTAGTGCCAATTTTCCATCTACACATTGTCCTGTTCAGTTGTATTCAATGAATTCAGTGGGCACACATGACGCTTGAAGTTTTTGTTGGGTGAGAATGTGAGGTGATATCAAAGTGGTAGTAGTGACTGGTGGCTGATGATGGAGGATGATAATTACGCGCCTCTGTTAGTGTCTTATAGTTGGCAGGGAGTTCATCAGCAGCTTCATATGATTGGTGATATGCAGTTGTCCTGGACTCCTGATGTACTGCATAATAGGGCTTTGTCGCCTAAATATTCCTTTGTGGCTTACCTTTGAAAATTGCAGTGAGCTGACTTCACAATGTTCAATCATGGGCACTCGATTTTCTTCACTTCATTGTAATAGATCTTGACAAATGGATGTAGAAAAGGCACTATCTGAATGCCTGAAACACTAACTGAATGGAAACTGAAAATACCTAGCCTACTGTACATATCCGGCAACAGGCTAAATTATTCTGTAGCTTTGGTTTGCATCCCAAGAAATTCATGTTCATCTGATTGCTAGGTTCATGTTGAAGATATATTGTCTTTTTTTGTCAAATATCAATTTTATTCAAGCATTTCTTGCAAAGCGCAAATTAGGACAATCCATTATGGTAATCTAACAGATTGTGCGAAACTAAGTTGCTAGAGTTTCAGAATGTCTAAAACTCTATCTGCTAATTAAAAGTACTCATTGAATGTTTGAAACATTAAATGAATGGAAACTGAAAATAGCTAGCCTACTGTACATATCCGGCAATAGGCTAAATTGCTAACATTCTGTAGCTAAGTTTTGTCGCTATTTGTTTTTACAGCCGAAATGGATTCAAAGGATCTTTGACCGACATGATTATGGAAGGTTTCCCTCCAGGTGGAGTGTCGACAATATCTCACCTCATAATGAAATACAAGCACGTGATGAGGTCCCTGCTGCGGTCAAAGGAAATACAAGAAGGTCCAAAAATTTCACTCTTAAAGAGGACGAGATGTTGGTGTCAGCGTGGCTAAATGTGAGTTTGGATCCTGTGAGAGGAGCCAATCAATCAAAAGATACCTATTGGAAAAGAATACATGATTACTTTCATTCAAAAAAGGATTTTGAATCTCATCGCACACAAAGTTCTCTAATGAGTCGGTGGTCTAGTATACTACATGACTGCAACATATTTGCTGGTTGTGTTTCGAAGGTAGAGGCCCGAAATCAGAGTGGTGCATCTGTTGATGACAAGGTTAGATGACCTACCTTCACATGCTAATTTCCTATATGTTTTAGCTGAATCTCATGTGTCATCTTTGTTTCCCATTGCAGCAAGCAAATGCATTAACTATGTATAAGAATGACGACCCATTACACAAGACTTTCCAGTACATACATTGCTGAAAAATACTGAAAGACCATTCGAAGTGGACGAATAGGCGCCAGCCAACTGGACCTCAGAAACCATTAAGCAAAAAGCAAAAGACCACTGCTGATTCAACTCCTGCTATTGATGCACCAGACCCTGTCACTGGTACTGTAGCTGAGACTGAAACCACAATAACCACAGTGCCGAGGCCTACAGGGACTAAGAAGGAAAAGCTGAAATTAAAGCAGCGTTCAAGCATTGAAGCTTTGGATTATTTATTGGCAAAGAAGAAAGAGGTGGATGCTGAGAAGGAGTTGAAGAAAAAGGAGAGGGAGTTGAAGAAAGAGGAGAGGGAGTTGAAGAAACAAGAGATGTGCCAAAAAAACCCTTGCCTTGCAGGAAGAAAGGATAAAACTTGACAAAGAAAAATTTGATTTTGAGCGGGATCGAGAAGAAGAAAGAATTATAAATATTGATATGAGCACCATGTCAACTAGGCAGCAATAGTTCTACGATGATCAATAGAAGAAAATACTTGCAAGACGGCTTGGAAATTAGTAGAACCATGATTTCGAATTTTTTAGATTTGAGCATAGTGTGAGACATGTTTAATTTTCTGAAACATTTTAGTTCACAGCATATCAGATTGATTAATGTTCTTGCATGAACCTTGTTATCTATATTATTCTGTAAAGGAGCTGCTTTTGATGTTTGCACCATCACAAATATATTTCGGATCGTGACACTGCATTTGCTCTCTAGAACCTACTGTAGCCTGTTCGACAATACATAGAAGTGCAGGTTGGACACTGCCCTCAGGTCCTCTTCATAGCAGATTAATTTAGTCAGCTACTGTATTATGTATTGCAACCTGCCTAGTGTTTTGTACCTTTGCATCTGGGGTTTTCTGTTTTTAACAAATATACAGTTATGTTTTTAACAAATGAGTCCTGTCAGGCTATGGTGAGTGCTTCCACCGCTAAACTGTCAACAAAAGACATGTTGATCTGAAACTGACAGCAAACTATTTTTGGAGGACTAAGTTTGCCCTTCTGCAGTACAAGTACTTGCATCTGAGAACCATTGTACATGCAACAGGGAAAAGAACCATTCCTTGCATCAAAGCAATGTTTGCAACTAGTGTTGCAGGCTTTCAAGCAAAACATTCAGGCTTTCAATATAAATGAAAGGCAAGCTTGTCACAAAAAAAATATGCCTTGAACTATTACAGTATCTAGTAAATCAAACAAAGAACATAGGTCTGGAAACTAATACATAATGCCTTGATGTTGTGATGGTAAATGAAATTATTCAACATTAATATTTGTATATAAATCTGGAAAATTATGCCACAAGTGCTCGATAAGGTCGGCTTGAAGCTGTGTGTGTGTCTCCTTGTCCTTGATCTTCTTGTAATTCTGCATAAATGCATCGAACTCAGGTGTAGCATCGTGTGATACAGTCACCTTTTCTCCCACATCATCATATCTAAAATCTTTTTCGTCAACTCCCTCGTCTTCAACAATCATATTGTGCATAATGATACAAGCCGTCATGACAAGTTGAATTGTATCCTCATCCCACACACGTGCCGGCGCTCGAACAATGGCAAAGCGAGCTTGTAGAACCCCAAATGCTCGTTCAACATCCTTCCTACAAGCTTCTTGTGCTTTTGCAAAATATTTGTTCTTATTACCTGTGGCTCGGGTATGGTCTTCACGAATGTGGCTCAAGATGGCCCAAGATGGTATATACCATCTGCTAGATAGTAACCCATAGTATAATCATTCCCATTGATGCTATAATTTACCTAGGAGATCTGTGAAGAACATTTATATCATTGTGCGAACCTGGCATCCCAAAGAAAGCATGCCAAATCCAAAGATCTTTAGAAGCAATAGCTTCAAGAATAATTGTAGGCTCCTTTTTATGTCCCCTATACATACCTTGCCATGCATAAGGACAATTCTTCCAGGTCCAGTGCATACAATCAATGGAACCAAGCATGCCAGGAAAACCTCTACTCTCACCAATCGCAAGTAATCTGGCAGTATCATCCTCATTGGGCAACCTCAAGTATTCATGTCCAAATAACTGAACAACAGCTCTGACAAACTTTCTAAGACTTTCTAGAGCAGTACTCTCTCCAATATGGATATAGTCATCCATAGCATCAGCCGCTACTCCATAAGCTAACATCCGGAATGCCGCCACCACCTTCTGCAAACAAGATAGTCCTAGGGTTCCGGCTGCATTCCTCTTCTGCACGAAATAGTCATCATACTTCTCAACGGCATTCATTATGCGGACAAACACGTGACGCCGCATTCGAAACCTATGACGTCTAATTAAAAAAACTATTCAGACCTCAATGCATACACTAAACATAAGTCAATAAAATTTGAGAGAATTAACCTGCGCCTGAAATAACTCGGTCCATATGTAGGATTATCTGAGAAATAATCTTCATACAATCTCTGATAGTACTATATGCCGACTGCCTATCACGATTCACAACACGATGTCCCTCTACGGATCCACGATGGCATGCTGGATTGACAATGTCTGATAGTACTATATGCTCTGCTGCAGTATATACCTCATCGTCATCATCCGACGATGACGACCACGACGACGAAGAATCCATCAGCTCGTTAAGTACATCTTCAAATTCCATTATGAACCTTTGATTAGGAGGGTCCTAGGAATCTGCTTGAACACCTAATTAGGATTAAAGAAAGAAGATGTGTGTCGATCTACTGATTTGATAACGTGACCTAAAGAAAAATCATATCAAGGATACACGATGACCTACCTGAACATGTACAGGGTAGCAGCAGCCCATCGCCACCAGGATCAGCGTCTTGTGCTGGTGACGCACGCGTGATGTCGCCGCCAGGATCCCAGAACGCGACGATATTCTATTGACGCGAAGGAGCACAGCCGCCGCCAGGACGTTGCTGCGGACGACTCCAAAGGAATAGATCGTAGAAAATTTCAATCGGCAGGTGGAATAGGTCCATGGTAGTTGGTGACGTGGCAATTTTTTAATATACAAGATGAGAAATGGCAAGTCTATTGGAAAACTCTTCTTTTTTGTGGACTTCTATATTTTACAAAAGAGCTAAACTATGTAATTTGGCTATTTATTTTACCACATCTGTTGGAGATGCTCAACAGAGACAACTTCCACATTCATGAAGTTAGTTAGGATAGACCATACAAAAAAATGGGAAGAAATTTTGCCTCTTTATTATTAGGTATAGATATAGATACTCCACTATGAAGAGGAAAAATTTCAGAAAAGAAAAAACGATTTCTAGGAAAAAACACTCAGAGAGCTACTTCTAAGTACTAGAGAAAATTAAATGCATTAGCATGATTGCATCAAACATATAAAAGATCTATAAACCAAAGTTGTATCTTTAAATGTGATCTATAACTTTATAATTGACACTTTTTCTATATGAGATCATTTAGAGAAACAAATTTTCGTTGTTTAATTTATCACATTTTAAAATTCAACTTTTTTGGTATATTTATAACAACCACATATATTGACATGGTTTATACAAAATTATAGCTCTAAATATGATATAAAACTTTGTGGTTGATATTTTTTTTATATGAGATCATTTAGAGGGTATTTATTTTAAGTTCTCATATTTTTTTTTCAAACAACATCGGACATCGCCACGACCTATACAAGATTGTTTAGGAGCCCAATTTTTTTAGGTTTTGTGATTACAAAATTAACATATTTGAATTCTTCAAACAATCTGTGATGGAAACATGCTGTATACCATATTTGTAGTGGTTGAAGAGATCTAAAACATTCTAATTGATTTTTTTCATTTGAGAATATTTGAGAGCCCAAATACGAAATAAAGGATGATATGACTAAAAAACTAAAGACATGTGGGCCCTTTAAGGTGGATAATTTATTTGGTTTTGAAACCACTCAGTACTCTTTAAGGAGGACAATTTATTTGGTTTTGAAAGTTAAGGCTGTAATAAGATGTCCATGATTCTAGTTCATGTGTGTTTTTTAAATTCAGCTATAAGTTTAAGGGAGCAAATAGGACTTTACAAATAAACCGGTTGCTCCTTAGTTTTCTCCTCCTTATTTGTTTTCGTTCTGTGCTCACCTTGTTTTAGATAATGTTATGTCTCTCACTACCGGGAACGGGAGCTTTGTCGTGTGCTCTAGGCACACGGCAAAGCCACGAATACACTCGGCAAAGGGTTTGCTGAGTGTAACACTCGGTAAAGGGCACTTGGCAAAAAATTCATCGGTAAACTAACTTTGCCGAGTGTTTTTCGTCGGGCACTCGGTAAAAACGTTGCCGAGTGTCCAAAAAACACTCGGCAAACATTTTTCGCAAGAAATAAAAAAAAACAAATTGCCACCGGCCGCCGCCCACCACGGCCACCACGCCGCCACCGGCCGCCGCCCACCACGGCCACCACGCCGCCATCGGCCGCCGCCCACCATGGGCACCACGCTGCCACGCCCGCTGCCGCCCCACGCCGGACGCCGCCCGCCACCACGCCACCCGCCCGCCACGCCTCACGCCACCCGCCGGATCTGGGAGAGGAGAGGGGCGGCGGCCGACGGACGCCGCCGGATCCGGGAGGAGGAGGGCGCCGCGGATCTAGGGAAGGAGTGGAGGGGGGCGGGGGAGAAAGGGGAGGCGGCGGCCGGGGAAGGAGGGGTGGCCGGGCTACCGCCGGATCCTGCCGGGAGGGGAGGGGCCGCCGCCAGATCCGGCCAGGAGGGGAGGGGCCGTTGCCGGATCTGGGGAAGGAGTGGAGGGGGCGGTGCCAGGGAGAAGGGGAGGGGGCGGCGCGGTGCGTGCGCGAAGAAGGGGTGGGGGCGTGCGGGCGCGGCGCGGGGAGAAGGGGAGGGGGCGGTGGCGGGTGGGCGCGTGGGTGCGGCCGGGTTATAGTAGGAGTTTTGCTTTGCCAAGTGCCGGATGGGAGGCACTCGGCAAAGCTTGTTTTTTTATTTTTTTCCTGCCTTTTTTTACACAGTAAGTAGTTTTTTTCCTTTGCTGAGTGTCCTGGATTTGGGCACTCGGCAAAGTTTTTTTTCATTTGTTTTTCTTCTCATTTTTTTCCAGAAAAAAGATTTTATTTCTTTGTTGAGTGTCCTAGATCTGGGCACTCGGCAAAGTTTTTTTTATTTTTTTTCTTCTCCTTCTTTCCCAGAAAAAAGATTTTATTTCTTTGCCGAGTGTCCTAGATCTGGGCACTCGGAAAAGTTTTTTTTTATTTTTTTTCTTCTCCTTCTTTCCTAGAAAAAAGATTTTATTTCTTTGCCGAGTGCAAAAAAGAAAACACTCAGCAAACCCTCTCTTTGCTGAGTGTTTTTTTTTGACACTTGGCAAACCTCCTCTTTGCCGAGTGTTTTTAGCGCAGCACTCGGCAAATAACTTGTTTGCCGGGTGCCAGAGAGAATACACTCAGTAAATATAAAAACACTCGATAAATTTGATGTTTCCGGTAGTGTCTCCAGGGTTGTGAATATGCCCATTAACTGACAGCATATATATGATGTAATTATTATCGACGAGCAACTGTTTCATAGTACACGAACTCCACTCGCGCATACAAACAGTCTCCAGCCAAGAGAGGTTGCATGACCGACCTTGCTGGGTCTCAATGACTCAATGTCTCATCATTCGTCATCACACGCTAACACACAGACACACGCACACACAAATACAAACAATCTTCACTTTGCTGGCTATCTCAGTAGAACCAGCCACCGGCGGCCTCCACCTCCCTGGCCTCGGCCAACTTACCGCTACTCCTGGACGACAGGGACAGGCACGACGACGACGAGGACGTCGACACCGACCGCCTTAGCCCACCTGGCACCGGCAGCGCGCCGCCGTAGTCCGACCAGAAGCTGCTCGCGGACGAGGAGCCCGACCCCGACGTCGTCCCGGTCCCGGACGACCGCCGGCCACCTTTCCTGCTGCCGTCCCGCCTCCGGAACACGGGGAGCGGGAAGCACCTGCTGGCCGGCGCCGCCGCCTCGTCGTCGTCAACATACCCGGCGCGGTACGCGGGGGCGACCCGGGGGTTGACGTCGAGAAAGGCGGTGGGCCGGTGCTGCGGCGCCGGGCGGCGCCGGGACGGCGACACGGACGCCGAGCGCGCCGCCGCGGAAGAGTAGTAGGAGACGCGCGGGGAATGGTACGGCGACGGCGACATGGCCGGCGGCGGCGTCAGCTTCGGGGACACCGCCACCTTGGAGACGGTGGCGGCGGCGGCGGAGGAGGTGGAGTATGGCGACGATGAAGGTGCTGCGCTGGCGCTGCTGCTCCTGACGTGCTTGGGCGTCCCCGGGCAGATCTCCCACTTGAACGGGATCGAGCCTGGCCTCCTGCACGAGTCATCGATCGCTGCTGCCATTGCTGCTTGCCTGCTTCTTCTCCTCTCTAACGCATCTGAATATTTTTGATCAACGATCTTGTATGTATATATAGAGAGAGATCGAGAGAGAGAGGGTTGGTGGAGTGTGCTGAGCTATGATTCAGGAGTGATTGGAGGCGGTGGATTGGATCGGATATCGGAGATAGTGGTGGATTATCTGAATTTTGTTAGTGCGGTGGTCAGCTGGCGTGGCGTGGACATTGGGGGCGGGCGACTGAATGATCGGCTTATCGGCCGGCCGTTTGGCACTGAGCGGCACTAAGTGGCAGGCGAACTGAATTTCTACGTGGGGCTCCATGTTCTGATTGACTTCTCGTGTTCCGGTACCGGACATTCAGACGTGGGGCTCCATGTTCAGATTGACTTCTCGTGTCCCGGTACCGGACATTCTGACAGGTTGAGTTTTTTTTTTCCACGTCCGTTTGACTGATATGGCTGAAAGTACTGTTGGTTGATTTGTTGTGAAAGAAAAATACTGTTTATTTACTGAAAAGTACGGTTTATAAGCCAAGCGAACGGGACGTTTGTGGGGGATTACATTATTTTAGGCGGATGGACACGTTGAGTTAGGCGGGGGGATTGGGGCGGCCGCCGGCGGCGGCGGCGTGACCGGGGTTGACAAACACGAAGAACCGATGCAAAGCGGGCACGTCCTGGTGGAAGGGGAACGTTGCGTAGTGACGTAGTCTGCTCCGGCCTTGGTTCACACTTGTGGGCTTCTTCTGGCTGGTCCGTCTCGTAGTGGGATGGGAATGGGGATGTTCTTTCTTCAGACTTTCTTCAGACTGGTGTTGCTCGTCACCGATTATTATTGGGTGGTCCGACGTGTGTGGGATTTCTGACGTGTCCACTGTCCTGCATAAAAGAATATACTAAAGGTTAAACCAGTGGATTAATTATATTTTTGATCCATTGGATGTCCTCAATAGGTCATAGTCCTTTATATTTTTATTTACAATAGAATGTGGTGGACTTATCTTGTAACGGTTCAATTTCCTTACAAATCATGTTGAAATCATAGTTTTAAATAGCGGGCTATTGAAAGTAGCGGCAACTTTTTTTCAACAGTTATGAGGCTATAGCGGCGCTACGACAGATAGCGTTTTTATAAAGAAAACATGACAAACACCAATAACAGATGAAAAAAACACGGTAAATATAAAATTCGATGAACACAAATATGTTTCTATGGTTCACAAGTCTAGGTAACATTACTAATATGGCATTACAACATGTTTCATGAAGTCCAGTGTTTAATTATCCAAAATACTAAATTAATAGCAAATGATAAGTAGGAAATAACAAATTAATTGTCAAAATCTATTAGTGATGGCAAAATCTGAAATAGCGCTTCTATTTGAACGCTAAAGCTATGCAATCAGCAGGGCTATAGCAAACAATAGCGGTTAAAGTTGGCATAGCGGCACAAATAAAAATAGCTTAGAGTTGAGTCTCTCCGGCCGCTATAGCGGCGCTAGCTATAGCCCGCTATTTTTTTTATGGTTGAAATACAACTCAAATTTGGACTGAGCTGCCAAAACCACTTTTGGTAATAGGTTTAGCCATTTCCCATGGAGTGGATCATCTTTCCAAAAGTGTAGTTTCCTCGTCGGTACATTAATCGTAAACTATAACCTTCCCCAACCCTAGCCCCTCCCTTGGCCTGTTCCCCACTGCCGCCACCAGTGGCATCGGTCGCCACCCTGGCACCGGCGCCCGCCTCCCCCTCCCCCTCGCCTCCCCTCCCCAGATCCACCACGTCCCCACCTAGATGCGCCTTTTCCTCACCTCCCCAGGCACGTGCGCGTGCAGGCGCGCCGGCGCATCCTTCCCCTCCCTCCTCCTCCCCCACCTCCCCTCCTCACCCGTGTCTGGGGGTGCACGTGTGGCTAGGCCGCCGACGCCGCCCAGATCGGCTCCTTCGCCGACGCCACCCAGTCGCTTGTGGGGTCCATGCCGCCCGGCGCGCCACCACCACCTTCTACGTTGGGGACGGGCACCGACACCACCATGGAGGCCCAACATGAGGGGCCACCCCCTCCGCGCGCCTAGGAGGATGCCCTCCCTGACGGCGCACCGCTCGCGCCGTCAGGGTGTGACTCCACCGCCATTACGGGAGACGTCGCAGCCACCCTGCTAGGCTCCTGCGCGCCAAGCCGGCAGGATGGAGCTACGAGCGCTACTGGGTCCATGGGCAGCTGTCCGAGAGAGGCTGCTGCGGTGTCGCCGGCCATAGGCGGGAAAGGCGGCTCCTTTCCAGAGGTCGGCCCGGCGTCGCGGCAGGACGCTCTGGCCGTGCCAGGGACTAGGGAAGTGGAGTCCAGTCAACCGTAGGCCAACGCGCCACCAGCGAACACCCCCAGCTCGCCTCGCGTGGGACGCGGTGTTGCGCAGTGTGACGAACTGCCGCCGCCGCAACCCATGTCTCTGTGTAGCGGCTAGGAGGCTGCCTCCGCTGCCAGCGCCCCCAGCTCGCCCACCCCTCTCTCCGGACGCGGCTCCGTTCTTCCTAGGTGGCCCCGCGAGAGGGCGTACGAAGCAATGCTTGTGGGCGGACGCCGACGGTGAGGAGTCTAAAGATGACCACCCCGCCAACTACCTAGACGCTGCTCGTCGCCTGGTGAAGCCAGTCGTTGCACCTCCGTCGCGCACTCACACTCGTTCAATCGTGTTTCTTGGTCGTGGCGAAGCGGAGGCGGGCTGACAGGGTCCTGGGAGAAGGCGGGGGAAGCACAGCCGGCTGTGGCCACAGCTAGTGTGTGGCATGCCTCCTTGGCTAGTGGATTGCCGCATCCCTACCTGTCGGTGCCTCGGACGACGCAGACGGGTCTCCGCCCATAACGCCGATGGGTGGCGGGGGATCGTCCCCCGGCAAGAGGTGCAACCTATGACCACCTCGGCTGACCCTCTCCGAGACACAAAGCAACCTCTGCAGACCTGGAAGGTACCCGCAGAGCTTCATGGCAGATGCTTCAACTGCCTTTCCTACTCGCACCGGGTAGCGACTTGCCGGTTGCCATGGCGTTGCCTACGCTGCCACGGCTTCCGCTACCCCGCCAGGGACTGCCAGGCATGCTACGGCATCGGTGGCGACTGACCGCGACACCTTGCTCATGGCGGCAACCTGCTGCCCTCCCAGCACGCTCCCTACGGCGGTCCACCGTGCTCGGATGGGGCTGCGTAGGGTGGCGCGAGGGGCGCCAGCGGAACCCGACGATGACGTTGGCGACGTTGAAGTAAGCCGGTGAGGGACATCAGCTTGGGCGCGCCGGCTGACTACGACGACAACGCCGCTACCACTGCCGCTGCTGCTGCACGCTGCTTCCCCTCTACCGAGTTAGATCCGATATCGTTGGAGCCGTGCTCATGCTCGGGGCGCCCTGTGTGAGTGGACCCAATGCTGGAGGAGCTCGCCGCCTCACTCGTTGCGAGCCCCCAGCAGGAGCACCAGCGCCTGGGTGCTTGACTGCTCCGGTGATCGCCTTGCAGGAAGTGGGCACATCGTTGATGGACACCCATTCTCCCGTGAAGACTGCATAGTGGATGACGGACTTGCCTCCATCATCGCATGTGCACGGGCCACCATAGACCATGGCACCATGGGGGGACATCCCGGCATTGTGGATGCCGAGACGTGCCTTGACCAAGCGCTGGTCAAGGCTGGCACCCTAGGAGACGCGACGATCGTGGATGCCACGAATGGCGTCAAATGCACTCCATCCCCTCATACGACCACCACCGACGGACGCCTTAAGCACTTAATCGAGCGAGTCACAAAGGCGAGGCAGCCGCCTCTCCTGGAGTTGACCGGAGATGATGCGGCCCACGGCGGACGGTGCGTTGCCGACGCTTCCCAAGAGGAGCAAGCGGATAGCGAGGCAGAGCATGTTGCATATCCCGACGTCCAAGCGAGGTGAGCAGCTTGTCTTGAAGTGTCTGGGACTAACCAGCGGGATGTCATCTCCGTCCACGTCGGCCATGAAGGCGTACGAATAAATCTACAACGCGGACCCCAGTAACATGCAGGTGCTTCGTGAGTTGTTCTTGCCGGACGGCGACGTGGGTCCGCGCAAGCGGCGCCACCGCCGCTCGGCTGCCCGGGCATAGGTCTCCTAGCCGGCGTCTCTTTTCGGGTTGATCAGTGTCCAATGTAACACTATAGATTTCAGTACACTAGGGTGGATCTGAGCGTCCATGTATAATTCTTCTGACCCCTAGGGCGCCGCTAAGGTGTGTTGTATTCAATATTTTCTCCACTTAATACAAAGACGCACAAACCTTTTGCTTAATCGAGAAAAATCAGTAGCTTTCTATATATATCTCGACAAGAGGAATCTAATGGTAAAATCAAATTTGCATTTCGAGAAAGTTGCCAAACCAGTTATTTAAAAATCAGTCCGACTGACCAAATTTAAGTGCGGCCTAAATCAGCCCGACAAATTTTGAGTGTGAACATAGGACCCGATGCAAAGTGGGCACGTACGTCCTGTGGTGGTCATTGGTTCACACTTCTAGCTGGTCGGTCTCGTGGTGCGATGGAAATGGGATGTTCTTATGTCAGATGTGTTGCTCGATCGACGCTGATTGCTACTCCCCTTTGTTTCAAAAAAAACTTAGATGGTTTAGTTTTGTCCTAAATTAGACTATCTAAAGTTTGACCGAATTTTATACACTAGAATACTATAATGCTTATATTACCAAATAAGAAATTGGATTCATCAGGTGACATATTTCTATAGTATATACCTATTTAGTGTAATAAACTTTAGCAGATTTCTCTATAGATTTGGCAAACTTAAAATAGTTTTACTTGGGACAAAACTAAATATCAAGTTTTTTTGAACAGAGAGAGTAGAAAATACCCTGCGCGTTGCTGCAGAGATTACGAAAATTTTGAAATAAAAATAAGTGAAAATGATGTAGATACCTTGTATTAAGAGGTTGGAGGTTAGTGAAATGATATGGCTATTAGTGGGATG